GCGCGGCATGCGCACTCCCCAGCGCACCGGTGCACTGCGCATTGAAGTGCCGTACAGTGCATAGCACATCGCGCATCAGTGCGCGCACCGCCAAGGGACTCGCGGCGCGCCGCGAACCGCACCGCATTGCACAGCGCATCGATGCGCCACAAGTACGATTCCAATGGATGTAGTGGTTCGAGCTCCACATACATTCCCATGGATGTACGCGTTCTGCTCAATGCTAACCTGCAACTTAATAATATTCACACAAAAAAAAATCTAATAATGCGCGCGATCGTTGAGACGGACCGACCAGTAAGTCACATGACTTACACTTCCGATTTTTTTATTTTTATTTTTGAGAAAAAATTCAAAAAATGCATTCTTCTCTCAATTTCACCTCACACTACCTACCTACCACTTCTCCTAATTTTACGCATACGGGGAACCCCATACCAGCGAGAACCGTGTTCACGAGAGAACATGCTGCATGCAGGGGCTGCTCCCGACCTGCAGCCCTGTGCCTCCTCTCAGGTGGTGGTCCCCACCCCTACGAACATCAGCAGACTCTGCTCAATGCCAATCGGCGGATCCGGTGGCCTATCTCTAGGTGGTGGGCGCCACGCATGCCCAGAAAGGCCAATGGGGATTGAACCCACCACCTCCTGAATGCCACTTGCCAGCCTTACCTACTGCATTATTATTTCCGTACATTCACAGTGCTTCCATCTGATGAACTTAGTTATGTCCGTCCGGGCCTCCGTTAAAACAATAAAAATTAAAATTTTGCACGTTGCAAAAGACTTGCAATGATATAAAGAAGATTGGCATGGCCCCAGCACACTAGAATGACACATACAAATCAAGAAATGGTCCAAATCTGCAAAACACACTAGAATGATATTTCAATCATATTTGTATATTACAGAAAAACGATAACTGATAAATTTATTAATGCTTTGAAAGATCGCCTGTGCTCCAGAAAAGTAATACTCCGTGGGACAAGACTGGCTATCATTAAAAAAAAAAAAAAGAAAAAAAAAAAAGAAAGAGAGACTGGTGATCATATACGGCATCAATCCTGGCATCCGGGTTCTGCTTATACACCCTACACTCTCCAACTCTGCTTTTTCGCCAATCTACTGCTGAGCAGCTGACCATTAGTCCAGCGCTGCACGTGCTCTTTCATCGTTTCAGAAACACAGAAAAATGCACTAATAAATTAATAACTCAGAAAATGGCATTCTCTCTCTCACTCTCTCTCTCTCTCTCTCTCTCTCTCTCT